CCGTTAAATGACACCTCCTTCCAAGATTCAGTAGATAAAGATTCAGTAAGGAATAGAGTTTCTAAAGTTTTTTTTTTTTTTTTAACATAATACATGAATTATGGGGGAAGAGGTTTCCTTATGCCATTTAAATGTTTAATAGTTGTATGTACATAAACCTACAAATACTAAATAAACTTTACTCTGAAAGTGTGCTGTGTTGTGAGTGGGAGGAGAAGGTGACCCCCACGCTGTGAAAAAAAGAAAAAAAAAAAAAGAATGTTCTTTTTCTTTTTTTAACAGTGTCCCACCTCTATTTTTTTCTTTTAGTTGGTTGGGGGCACAAGATAAACTTGAATATATGTATGTATAGTCCATAAACAGATACTTATAGATGAAAACTTAAGATTGTGTTGGGAAAATGGTTGAGAAAACAACATTTTTAGTGTCAAAAAAAAAACTTGATCATTTGGGTGATGACACAGTGGCATTAGTTGGAGGGACTAGTGAGCTTCACTAGCCATGACAGCAAACAGTAGTAAAGCAGGTTTTCCTGTTGTGGACTTATAGCCCACAGATCGAGCATAATTTGGATCAGATAAGAAATAGATTGTGGGTCAGGTGCTGATTTAACAATCCTCACAGACATGGAGCATTTACAGTTAGGCTACTTTTAAAATTGTAATACTGAAAATCAATAAAGTAAACAATAGTGAAGAGATTAAAAAGCGATTATAGTCTGAGACAGATGCGCAAATTTTTGGCACTACTCCGTGGTTTAGTTTAATCAGTACTTGGCACTACTCGTGGCGATATAGTCAAAACCTTTTATCTGCTTTAAAAGAGTAAGGTAAAGTGATGCAGAGCTAAATTGTCGATATATCTTTATTTTTTTTTTACCTGAGTTTTCAATGCTATGAAATCCACACAACAGTTAATTATTAAATGCTTTTGCTGTTTTTAGTGCTGATCTGCGCAAAATTTCAATAGTGTTTTCTAAATGATGTGTAAATAAAAGTAGACAAAGAAATAAATTAGGTTTCCTCACCTTTCTCTGCATCTTTGATAATGATTCTGGAGCACATGTGTAAAATTTTATGTCAATTATTCCCCTTTTTTATCATTTTTGCTTTTTAAGTCTTGCTATTTGTTTCTCAGAACTTTTTTTAGCAGCTTTGTGCTGGTACTAAAATGAATGAGGTTGCATCCCTTGACACAGTCTGCTTTTCCAATAAATAAGGAAGGGGAATATCTGGAAGTTACTGTATGAAATGTTTGAACTGGTTGCTGAAAATGTATTGTTCCAGCTCCCACAGTGAGGTTTGATTTATTACATGAGTATTAGGCCTATGCAATAGTTTTGTGATTTTTGACAACCAATTGAAAAACTACTCGGGATCTTTTTGGTCAGACAATTTGTTAAATGAGCCTGATAATAAATGAGGAATATACAACACTGAGGACCTGGATGTTCCAGGTTTAATCTGGATAGGAATTAAAAGGATTTTGAAATCCCCCTTTTTTTCCCTAGAGCAGGTAATCAACCTTGCATTTATATTTCGGCTTTTTAAGTAGATGATGGATTGGCTCAACCTTATATAGGTAAAGATAACTTTCAAAGATTACCAATGCTCCATGGACAAGGTGAATGCACAATACAAGGTCCACAGTGGGAGCCAAATTTAAGTTAACTAAACATTCTTGGTGGCTGTTTTAAATTTGATAATCAGGGTCAGAGCACAGAGGGTCTGATTGTAATTCCTGAGATTATTGTCTTGTTAATATTTGGAGTGTTTGTCTAGACCTTTGAGGGTCTAAACAAGATCAAAACTCATCTACACATCAAATCTGGTAAAAATTTTGATATTGTAATGGTTTTGGAAATCAGCATTGAAAAATTGTCTCACTGACACCCCCTAACACTCAGTTTTGAGTCTAGAAATAAGGCATGTAAATTTGTATATCTGTGTTTTTGAAATGTTTTTACACATGACACAATATTTTTATGTAAAAGGTTTTATTTTTCCCAAAATATAAATCCCAAATTTCCTTTGGAGATCTCAACATAAAGATGGATGTTCAAGGCTCCTGGTGGAGGCTTCAGTTGAAGGTGATGGCAGAGTTGCTGTGAATTGAAGGTTTTGGACGTAGCTTTTTTATGTTCGAGGAGAATTCTGGTTTCTGTCACAGGTGGTGTAGATGGAGTGAGCTGCTTGGTTTGCTGTAGATTTCAAAAGTAGAAGCATTATCTGTGAAGGGTTGGCTGTAGCTGAAAGGCATGCAAGCAATACACAAGTGAAGGTTGAGACTCGTAGTTACCATCATGACTGTAAATTGCTTTTGACTTGCTTTTGTTCTAATGTGCTTTTATCCCCATATTTTACTTGTTGTACTGCACTTTGATGGAAAGCACTTTATAAATAAATGTATTACTATTATTATCAGGGATTTAAGTTTTTAAGCAGAAGCTTAGGGCAAATTGGTATCTCACATTCCTTACAAAGGAAGCAACTGGAGGCAGCAGATGATGTTGCTGTTTATTAGAGGCCCAAGTTGGAGGCATGGACTTGGGCATATAGTAACAGTGCAGGTGGAGGCAGCTACAGTTTACTGGCAAGGACTGAGTTGGAGGCATAGGAAGCAGCTTTCTTTCATGCAATACAGGTAGACAGGGACTGAAGATTGGCATAGGCTTCTAGCACTGCTCATTAGCGCTGCAGGTGGACACATGGTTGATATTTGGAAGAGGAAGCCAACAGACATCAAATACAGGCTTGCATTTGATTTATACATTACATTTGATTGTAGATTCAGTAGGTGGAAGCGGTGGCTGAAGGTGATGGCTTCAGTTGGAGGTCATGCCACAATTTCCAGGTAGAGCGGTAAGCTGAAGAATGCTGGCTGGAGCTGCAGGTGATGGAAACAAAGAAGAACATTAGCAAAGACTGAATATGAGGTATGGCTTTGGGCTTTAAGCTGTAAAAAGTGATGTCATATGCTGTCAGTGTTTGTCAGATCCTGTGATTGAAAGTCACAAACTGCCAGTAAATACAGGTGACATTTGCTGGGAAAGGTTGAATTGGAGGTAGAGGAGGCAGCTGTCTTTCGTTCTGTGCAGGTAGAAGTTAAGACCCATGGTCTCTGGCAGAGGCTGCAGCAGGAAACTTTAGGCTCTTTTCTGCTCCCTGTTGATTTCAAGCATCACCTGGCACTGGAGGGGACTGCAGGTTCCTGGTACAGGCTTGGGCTTAAGTTGGTGGCACCTGCAGCACAATGTCACAATGTCATATGACATATACTTTTGCTCAAAGTGATGTACATTAGAGCAAGGATCCCGAGAGAAGGATACAGCTGGTGGCTGTTGGTTCCTTGTAGAGGCTTGAAGTTGAGTTAGTAGATGTTTCATGTTTCGGTAGATGGCTTCAGGAAGAGACTTGAGGTGAAGTCTGTGGTAATGGCGCTTTAATGTCGCGCAGGTAGAGGCAGCTATATTTCGCCTAAAGAGACATAGGTTGGCTTGGTATCTTTTTTCCATATGGTTGGAGGGAGAGGCTGCTAGTGTCTAGTTACTGGTGCACTGCAGGATGTGGCTCAAGGTTGTTAGCAGAGAGGGAAGGTTGAGTCAATGTGCTTGTCGAGGTTGCAGTTTGAGACAGTGGCTGCTGATGTGTGGCAGAGACTGCAATCATAGGTGATGGCTGCTGATGTTAAAAAGAGGTTTGGGTTTAAGACATTGGCAGCCCATAAACAGGTGGAGGCACATGAATTTAATTGATTGGAGATATTTACCTCTGAGCAGGAGGAGGAGGGGTCGGAGGCTGATGGTGGAGGTTGCAGGTGGAACGAGCCATCTTCATTTTTTTACAAGAAGAGGCAGAGGCAGATGTTATTATTTAGAGGCTGGAGTTGGAAGTTGGCAAATGTGCAGCGCTAAGTTGGTAAAAGCTGCTGGCACGTAATGGAGGACAGGATGGAAGTAGGTTTGATACTTTGTCATTTCAGTCTGGTCAGAGATGGTTGTTGGTCGAGTCAGGAGTTTGGAGGAGATTCAAGTTGAAGGACGGCTGAGGTGTTTTGAATTGTTTGCAGAGAGGACTTAACTTAAACTACAGTAACTTAAACTACAGTATTTACAATATGTACAAATTTAAACTTGGAGTTAAAACAACAATATTCACAGGTAGAGAGTAAAGACTTTCATGTCCTCACTCTCTGTCTAGTTGAAGTCTGTGGCTGTGGTTCATAGAATATGTCCACGTTGTAGAGGGGTGGATAAACTCCAACCCCATAGTTAATATTTACATGGACAAGTCTGTCCTCGTCTACAGTTTCAGTGAACTGTAGACGATTCAATTGTTCCCACAACTTCTGCTTGATATGACGTCCCAGTGCAAGGCTGTAGGGACGCTGACGGCCATTCTTGTACCTCTGGACAGGAGAGGATAGTAGTTTAAATCAAAATGTTAGGTCAAGTGTTACTGTACTTATCATGGTCTGCTATAGGGGTGGATTCTTGTTTTTCATTTCATACATACCGGAGCATGTCACCTACCACGGCATGATAGAGCTGCTAGTACTCTTCTACTGACCGATGGTGTATTATCAGTAAACCGTCATCCAGCAGCGGAGTTGTGGGGGGCATGAAGGGGTGAACCACAGTGGAGACTTTAGGCAGCTCAAAAGGTGGAATTGTTGACTGAGGCCTCAGGACCAAAAGAGGATCAGAAACCTGAGAGTGGGAATGCTGAGGAGCAGGATCGTGGGTCAGCCCTGCAGAATCATTAGTATGGACCACAGAGGTCCTCATCTAAGTGCATAAAGCAAGCGAGATACTATGAGGATTTAGTATGTTGCACATGATCACAACAGTTTTGAACACTTAAACTCTCTTATGTTCATGTAGCTTTACACTAAATGGTAGCTACTTCGCATCTATATCCCAGCTCGGAGTTTTAAATATATCAACAAGTAAATTGTAGGCTACAATGCACTAAAATGCTAACTTCGACTTTATCACACCCATGCCGGCACACAGCGGAGAGATAGGCCTATTGTTACGAAGTTCAAATCTTACATTTTCCATGGCGAAAGTTGGTGGTGTATCTTTCAGGACATTTTGGGATGCTTTATTTCTGATCAGTGTGGATGAAATCCGCAGTTGAAGAGATTTTGCTGGAAACACAGCGTGAAGAAATGTGAAAAACCTTTCTTGACCGATCTAGATGGGTTTTTTTATGTGCTTTCACAATGAGCCAACACTAATGCATACATATTACCAAGGCTTAAAATTGCACTTTGTGCATGCTGAAAAATCGTTGCATAGGTTCGAAACACATCAAATGTATGGCCCAATAATAAAAAAAGGGGGAGAGTGGGGACTTAAAGCTGCAGAGGCAAAATCCACAGCAAGTTAAAATGACTGGCGTAAATGTTACCACCCAAAAAGTCAGCCCAGTGGAGTAAAATGAGGTTCTTGCCAAGCAGAACTTTATTTAATTGCTTTAAATAAATATAACTTTAAACTTGGATGTCATTAGGTAAATGCTATTTTATATCCTCACAACTGTTATGTTTTATGGAAAGTAAAATTTACTTGATATTAGAAAGTGAGAGTTACTTGATATTGCAGCATTAAATTTTACTTAAATCATTTGCGTGCAAATACTTACAGTATGTTTTTTAAACCTTCACTGAAGAAGACAAAAACACCCTTGTATAAAAACTGCAAAAATTATTGAGCATTTTTATGTTGACAAATAGGACTTTTTAAAACGCATATTACAAATGTAGACTACAAACTTGTAGTCTAGTCTGAACATGCATATCTGGCTATATCTGACACAAACACCGCAAGAACTTAGATTTTAGTAAGTGTGCTTGTTTTATTTATGGTAGAAAAAAAGTGTCTTTAGTTTACAAGGAACACAGTCACAGACTTCAGACATGAACTCTGATCATATCTGCCCAAACGTCAACACTCAACCTGAGCATCACACCAGCATGAATGTTTTATCTGCATGTTTAAAATGATTATTGAGACAAACAGCTACACTGATTATACATCAAATCCATCTTGTTAACATGGTTTGTGCTTGGGAAGTCCCGTTTGAGACTTGGACACTGAAGCTACAAACTGACTTGACTCAGATTAGAGCTTCAAACATCTGAGACTTGATTGGGACTCTATGAGGCTTGAAAATATGAGGTTTTTTGTTAATTCGGTCCACTAGTGGGCTGATAAGAATCTGTTGCCATGAAAGCGCATGAAACTATCCATTTGTAGCAGGATGAAGCACTTTTAAATCATTTTTGATTCAATAGTTAATAATGAATTGATTTATTATATAGGGTGGATTTGTTTGTTTCTTTTGTAGGATGGGTAATAATTGAGATTGTGTTTATCTCATGTAAGCATTGGGGTCTTGTCTCATCAAGTCTGGGTCTAACTTGCATAACCACCCTTCACTGTAGCATGGCTGGGCCATCCTGTTGCGTGAATCACTTGACATTCCTTCCCACAACAGTCTGGACTTCGGCCCATAGAGAGCGTGTATTCCCGATCAGAAAATAACCGGGCCAATCAGAGACCGTGTTTCCACTGTTACCCGGACAACAGGGAAAGGCAGCCCCTGATTGGTCCATGTACTACTGTAACCAATCACCGTAACCAAGCATCTGTGATGATGTCAGATGCTTGGTTACGGTGATTGGTTACAGTAGTCTGTCTATCAAGGAAAGTACTCCCGTCCACTTTCAGGGCTTCCAATGGGCCGAAGTCCAGACTGTTGTGGGAAGGAACGTCAAGTGATTCACGCAACAGGATGGCCCAGCCAGGCTACCTTCACTGGGCCATAAGTTATCACTCAAAAGTGTGTTTTTCATCAAAACGTGATGATATTTTTAAAAGATGTTGTTGTTATTTTAAATTCAAATCAGATGGAACATTTCCATGGAAACCTCTAGAGTAACAAAAACGCACCTTAATACTGTAGAAGATCATTGCGAGGCAAGCACTTGACCGAGCAGCATCTCATCGCGTCATCAGAGCAGAATATCGATTTGACAACAGCAAGTATACGAATTAACCTTTGCCAAACCTCTGAAACTATCACACAGTTTCAAGTTTGTGAATTTCCTGAGAAGATCTTTTTTCCTGTCAACGAAGTTTGTTTAAGATCTTTTACTGTTTAATTTTCATCATCTCTGTGCTGCCATGGACAGAAGATTTCCTGTTTTTTTCTGAGTGCTGTCCAGCTGCAGCAACCTCAGAACCAGTTCTCTGACTCTTATATTATACAGCGTTTGCGAGAAACTCTCTTTACCACAATTAATGAGGTGAAGCTCCTCAAAGAGGAAAATAAAGCGCTGAAGGACTCCATCCATCAACAGGGAGAATCCGAAAGGCCGAATGTGACCCAGCTCCAGAAGGAGGTGAAGCTAAAAGATGATCTTCTCCTGAAAGCTGCTCAAAAAGAGCAGGAGATGACCAGGGCCTACATAATCACCTCAGACCTGCTGGCTCTAAAAGAGGAGGAGGTTAAAAGCCTAAAAGAGGAGCTACACCTCAAAGACAGCCTCCTGGAAAGTGTTGTGAAGAAGGACGCTCTAGCCTCAAAAGAGATGGAGATTAAGAGTCTCAGATATAATCTCAGAAGGGAGCTAGCGTGCAAGGAAGACCTCCGGGCTGAGATGAAGGAGAAGGTCCATGAAAACCAAGCCAATGAAAAGCTGGAGGTGAGCAGGCTCCAAGAGGAGCTTAAGTCAACAAAAGAGCTCCTGGGTAGGGCCATCAAACAACGACGCAAGAGAACTAAGGCCTACCTAGATACTATGGACCTGCTCAACAAGAGGAGCTTGGAGCTGAAGAGGACCGAGGAGCACTGGAGACTTAAGTGCAATGAGCTGCAGAAGAGTCTCGATGAGCAGACCAGCAACCTGCAGGTACTTCAGAGCTCAGATATATGACAGTAGCTATAGATCCAAATAATCTCAGATTCTGTAGAAAAGAACTTCAACTTTTACTGAATGATCTAACACACAGTTTCTTTCTCAGCTCTCTTCTCAGATACTCGTCCTCGATAAAACAGCTAAACACCAGCTGGACCTCTCAGAGGAGGGAGAACAAGAAGAGGAGATGGAGAAGAAAGAGGAGAAAAGAGAGGAGGAGGAGAATAAACAAGAGGAGGAGAAGGAGAAGAAGGAGGAGAAAAAAGAGGAGGAGGAGGCAAAACAAGAGGAGAAAAAAGAGGAGGAGACAAAACAAGAAGAGGAGATGGAGAAGAAAGAGGAGAATAAACAAGAGGAGGAGAAGGAGAAGAAGGAGGAGAAAAAAGAGGAGGAGGAGGCAAAACAGGAGGAGGAGCAGGAGAAGAGTAAACAAGAGAAGGAGGTGAAGAACATGTTAAATGAAGAGAAGGAGAGAGAGAGAAAAGAGGAGGAGAAAGAGAAAAAGAAAGAGGAGCAGGAGGAGAAGAAGTCCCCTGAAGAGAAGGGGTCAAAAAAGGATGAGGAGGAGAAATTGAGTGAAGGAGAGAAAATGAACAAAGAAAAACACGACAAGAAGAAGAAGAGGAAGAGAAGGGGACAGAAAAAACGATAATTGTCCTTGTACCGTGCAACCCCCTTAACCCCCTTCCCTCCATCCTTTAACTCTACTATACCTTCCTACCTACCTACCCTCCTATCCACCTTCCTACCCACCTACCTTCCTATCCACCCATCCTGCTACCCACCTTCCTATCCACCTACCCTCCTACCCACCTTCTTACCACCTACCTTCCTACCCACCTTCATACCCACCTACCCTCCTACCCATCTTCCTACCCACCCACCTTCATACCCTCCTATCCACCTTCATACCCTCCTTTCCACCTTCTTTCCTTCCCTTCTACCCTTACTCTTTCTGTGTTCTGTTGTAAATATGTAAATAGCATCAATAAAGTTCTGAGGAACTTAATCACTGGTTTCCATGGTTATAAATCTGATCCTTACACACTTGGTAACACTTTAGTCTCATAAATCTTTGAAGTCAAAGATATAAAAAATGTTCACAGCTCCAGACAATCATTGTGGTCAGTTTGAAAAAAAAAATCCAACACTTTTCCACTTTTTTGATGACTTTTTGATTCTGAAGAACCAACTCCACTCATTTACATGGTACAGGTCAACCTTTGTGAGTTTTTCTACCAACTCATGCAAATTAAAAAGTTTTTGTTATGCAGAGTCAGACAAGTTTAGGGTGAATACTGAATGAGCTCTAAGTAAGGTTAAAAAACATTAAAATGCAGTAAAAATGTGGTGAAAATAAATAAAATTAATAAATAATTGATTGTTCATAGTGATCACAAGATGATTTCAGGTCAAAATGTGAAAATTCAGATTCAAAAAGTCTAAAACTCTGTGAGTTAGAAATCAAGGTTTCTATTAAACCTTCGCTGAAGAAGACAAAATCACCCTTGTATAAAAACTGCACAAATTATTGAGTATTTTTATGTTGACAAATAGGACTTTTTAAAATGCATATTACAAATGTAGACTGCAAACTTGTAGTCTAGTCTGAACATGCATATCTGGCTGACACACACACCGCAAGAACTTAGATTTTAGTAAGTGTGCTTGTTTTATTTATGGTAGAAAAAAGGTCTTTTTTAAGTCATCACACACCAAAATAAGAATGAATAAGAATCAATCAAAGAGAGGTTTTATGGTTTACTTTTCTCTAAATAAGAGTGTCCTTGAAATCAAGAAATTTCTTACCTTTTAAGGGTTTAGCAAGGAGTGGCCCATCTCCATACAGAGGAGTCCCCTCCCTCCCTGAAGTTTTATTATACACCTTAAAATCCTAAACTGTGATCAGCTATTTGTCTTATCATAGATGGGACTTCTATCCAATTATTTGGGTTATTTGCTGTGACCGAAAACACTGTGTGTTTCTTTCTTTGCTATCAAGTGTAACATGTTTTCATCTGTGGCTCTGAACGGTTATGATGCTCAGTTTGTCAAGTTTTAGTAATAATGATAATAACTTTATCTGTATAGCACTTTTAACAAAACAGATGTTTACAAAGTGCTTTGACATGTAGTCGTAGAGCAAATGGAAAAAGACAGATAAAAACAAAAAGCTCAGTGAAAAATTCATGAACATAGCCTGTCAGAGCACAAAGTCAGGAGCTACAGTCAGTAAGATGGAGAGAAAAGCCACCAAAACTCTGGCTATTGTTTTGGGAGTTTTCCTCTTATGTTGGACTCCGTTCTCTCTCTGCATCACCTTTCCTTCTTTAGGCAACGCAGCTCCAGTTCCTGTTATTAAGACCCTGAACTGGCTGACACTTTCAAACTCTATGCTGAATCCGTTCATATATGCTTTCTTTTACAGCTGGTTCAGGTCGGCTTTCAGGATGATCGTTTCTGGGAAGATATTGAGAGGGGATTTAATTAAGACAAAATTACAAAACTAGGCTGAATGTTTCTGTATGAAAATTTAGTAAAACACTGTTTGTGATCTGAATGAGTAAATCAACACACTTCACCTGAGATCAGAACTGAAAAAGAAATATCTGTCGATGTTTTTATACACTGCAAAAACAGGAATTTTTTGTGGTTTTGTCCTCTCTTCAGAAGAGAGTCTATTTTGCAAAATTAAATTCACATTCATCTGATAAGTCCAGAAAATATGCTGAATTGCCTGTACTGATTAAAAAATAATAATATCTGGTAAATGTGGCAAAAAACATACTAAGAATAAGACAGAAACACTAACTGAGATTAGATTTTCTTTTACAGAATAGTAAAGATTTTGAGCTCAACTCCCCCTTTTAATTCCAGGAATCAAAAGTTTACATTGAGAGAGTTAAAATGTATCGGTAGATGGCTTCAGGAAGAGACTTGAGGTGAAGTCTGTGGTAATGGCGCTTTAATGTTGCGCAGGTAGAGGCAGCTATATTTCGCCTAAAGAGACATAGGTTGGCTTGGTATCTTTTTTCCATATGGTTGGAGGGAGAGGCTGCTAGTGTCTAGTTACTGGTGCACTGCAGGATGTGGCTCAAGGTTGTTAGCAGAGAGGGAAGGTTGAGTCAATGTGCTTGTCGAGGTTGCAGTTTGAGACAGTGGCTGCTGATGTGTGGCAGAGACTGCAATCATAGGTGATGGCTGCTGATGTTAAAAAGAGGTTTGGGTTTAAGACATTGGCAGCCCATAAACAGGTGGAGGCACATGAATTTAATTGATTGGAGATATTTACCTCTGAGCAGGAGGAGGAGGGGTCGGAGGCTGATGGTGGAGGTTGCAGGTGGAACGAGGCATCTTCATTTTTTTACAAGAAGAGGCAGAGGCAGATGTTATTATTTAGAGGCTGGAGTTGGAAGTTGGCAAATGTGCAGCGCTAAGTTGGTAAAAGCTGCTGGCACGTAATGGAGGACAGGATGGAAGTAGGTTTGATACTTTGTCATTTCAGTCTGGTCAGAGATGGTTGTTGGTCGAGTCAGGAGTTTGGAGGAGATTCAAGTTGAAGGACGGCTGAGGTGTTTTGAATTGTTTGCAGAGAGGACTTAACTTAAACTACAGTAACTTAAACTACAGTATTTACAATATGTACAAATTTAAACTTGGAGTTAAAACAACAATATTCACAGGTAGAGAGTAAAGACTTTCATGTCCTCACTCTCTGTCTAGTTGAAGTCTGTGGCTGTGGTTCATAGAATATGTCCACGTTGTAGAGGGGTGGATAAACTCCAACCCCATAGTATTTACATGGACAAGTCTGTCCTCGTCTACAGTTTCAGTGAACTGTAGACGATTCAATTGTTCCCACAACTTCTGCTTGATATGACGTCCCAGTGCAAGGCTGTAGGGACGCTGACGGCCATTCTTGTACCTCTGGACAGGAGAGGATAGTAGTTTAAATCAAAATGTTAGGTCAAGTGTTACTGTACTTATCATGGTCTGCTATAGGGGTGGATTCTTGTTTTTCATTTCATACATACCGGAGCATGTCACCTACCACGGCATGATAGAGCTGCTAGTACTCTTCTACTGACCGATGGTGTATTATCAGTAAACCGTCATCCAGCAGCGGAGTTGTGGGGGGCATGAAGGGGTGAACCACAGTGGAGACTTTAGGCAGCTCAAAAGGTGGAATTGTTGACTGAGGCCTCAGGACCAAAAGAGGATCAGAAACCTGAGAGTGGGAATGCTGAGGAGCAGGATCGTGGGTCAGCCCTGCAGAATCATTAGTATGGACCACAGAGGTCCTCATCTAAGTGCATAAAGCAAGCGAGATACTATGAGGATTTAGTATGTTGCACATGATCACAACAGTTTTGAACACTTAAACTCTCCTATGTTCATGTAGCTTTACACTAAATGGTAGCTACTTCGCATCTATATCCCAGCTCGGAGTTTTAAATATATCAACAAGTAAATTGTAGGCTACAATGCACTAAAATGCTAACTTCGACTTTATCACACCCATGCCGGCACACAGCGGAGAGATAGGCCTATTGTTACGAAGTTCAAATCTTACATTTTCCATGGCGAAAGTTGGTGGTGTATCTTTCAGGACATTTTGGGATGCTTTATTTCTGATCAGTGTGGATGAAATCCGCAGTTGAAGAGATTTTGCTGGAAACACAGCGTGAAGAAATGTGAAAAACCTTTCTTGACCGATCTAGATGGGTTTTTTTATGTGCTTTCACAATGAGCCAACACTAATGCATACATATTACCAAGGCTTAAAATTGCACTTTGTGCATGCTGAAAAATCGTTGCATAGGTTCGAAACACATCAAATGTATGGCCCAATAATAAAAAAAGGGGGAGAGTGGGGACTTAAAGCTGCAGAGGCAAAATCCACAGCAAGTTAAAATGACTGGCGTAAATGTTACCACCCAAAAAGTCAGCCCAGTGGAGTAAAATGAGGTTCTTGCCAAGCAGACTTTATTTAATTGCTTTAAATAAATATAACTTTAAACTTGGATGTCATTAGGTAAATGCTATTTTATATCCTCACAACTGTTATGTTTTATGGAAAGTAAAATTTACTTGATATTAGAAAGTGAGAGTTACTTGATATTGCAGCATTAAATTTTACTTAAATCATTTGCGTGCAAATACTTACAGTATGTTTTTTAAACCTTCACTGAAGAAGACAAAAACACCCTTGTATAAAAACTGCAAAAATTATTGAGCATTTTTATGTTGACAAATAGGACTTTTTAAAACGCATATTACAAATGTAGACTACAAACTTGTAGTCTAGTCTGAACATGCATATCTGGCTATATCTGACACAAACACCGCAAGAACTTAGATTTTAGTAAGTGTGCTTGTTTTATTTATGGTAGAAAAAAAGTGTCTTTAGTTTACAAGGAACACAGTCACAGACTTCAGACATGAACTCTGATCATATCTGCCCAAACGTCAACACTCAACCTGAGCATCACACCAGCATGAATGTTTTATCTGCATGTTTAAAATGATTATTGAGACAAACAGCTACACTGATTATACATCAAATCCATCTTGTTAACATGGTTTGTGCTTGGGAAGTCCCGTTTGAGACTTGGACACTGAAGCTACAAACTGACTTGACTCAGATTAGAG